CCGTCAGCAGCTGTGCGGCCGCCTTGGCGCCCAGCACAGCGCCTACTAGCGCCTGCGAGCCCCCAACACCTGCACAAAATGAATTGAAAATGTCGCAGATAATAAAGTAGTACTAAAGTAAAATAAAATTAGTTACCTTCATCCTCATCAGCAGTGGTGATTTTATTCACAGTTGTGTTAAGGAACTTGACGAGGGGAGCGTCGTGTGTGGCCCACAGTGCCAGAGATTCGCCGCGAACCCAGTCCGGGATGATAGGAACTATGAAAAAAAATTGTAATTCCGAATTCAAAATTTCGAATGAATTCCAAATTCAAAATTTCGAATGAATTCCAAATTCAAAAGAGTTCCAAACTGACCGAGCACTGTGAGAAGGACATTGTCAAGGAAGAAGGTGAGGTAGACAAGAGCGAATGCCAGTAGGCCGTGCGTAGACGCGCGTTCGTCCAGCATGTCGGCAGACAATGCCGCAACGAGAATAAAGTATCCAGCGCGAATGCCGCACGTCCTCGCCGCGACAAAGAATCCAATATATCTCCAATCAGTAATCAGTCGCGCGTGTGAGTCGGTCCTAATATGATTTTCTGTTACACTCGCGCTGTTTTATACTGCGATATTAGGTTGCAACATATTTGTTGCTATACAGAAGTTTTTTTTTTGTTTTAAATTAAATGTTTATTTGATATAGGCCAAAATCGGCAATAGTGTAAAATATTGTTCTTTTTATTTGAATTTTGCCAGAACCGTTATTTACATAATGTAAACGCTTACAAAAAATCGTAAATTAGAAAAGCTTAAAACTAGTACTTAATGAATCAATTCTTTAACTATTAGGCGTAATTAATGCAATATATAAAACTGTTTTACTCAGTTAATAAAAAACGCAAGATCAGTTCCCGCAATAGATAGTAGCAAAAAATAAAATAGAAAAAGTTTGCGATTTGCCGGCTCGTTACCAAACCTCATTACACGCCTGTTAGCGACACATCTGTTCATCTCCTTTACCCTTGCCTTGCCGCTTCCGTTCGAAGCTTAGGAAAAAACCAGTAAAAAGTTAAATATTTTGTAACAAATACTGAGTTAACATCGTAATTATAATACATCACGTGGAAGAATGCAGCTACAAAACATGCACGCCAAAATACCTGACGATTATTTTTCATGAGTAAACGAAGATGAGATTTAAGTTTAATAAAATAGCATAATGGCAGATTTTTAGAAACTTCGACGCCCATGGGCATTTGGGAATCCGCAATACCAGAGGAATTGCAAATGCTTGATCTTCATAGTAATCAGATTGTTAACATATTTGAGAAGTTCAATTAAAAAAGTGTATACTCATTTTTGCAAGGAGATTCTGGTCCCAAACCAGTAAAAACAGAATAAAACATTTGTTAAAATAAAAAACCACGAAAGTTTTAACTTGATCATAAAATTGGTATCGTGAAACGGAACGCATAAACCGTTAATTGTCACTGTCATTATGAAATGTAAATCCAATTTATGCGTCAATGTCAAATTAGTCGACTTGAAGATCGTAAAGTGGTGGTGGTGTAGCTTGAATTTTATTAACGCTGTCTGATGAATGTCGTGTCTTTCTTTAGTGCTCTATGTAATGTAGGAGCATCAGGCTAGATTTAGGTTTACTTAGTGTTTCAGTAAGGTGTCTTATTCGTATTCTACGACAGAAAGTAAGCTGGCTGTAATCAGAACTTATCCAGTGCCCCCCACGAATTCCGCCCCATTCTCCCTTCTCGTTATGGTAAGTTCATTATTTTTGATAATCATGATAGTATTTAACATAAGAATAAATAAATTACATTAGTATAATGGCCATCAATTTTTTCAGATACGTTTTATTGATTTAATTATGCTTTTATATTTTTAATTTTAATAATTGCTTATAATTTAGCCTATCTTACATAAACAGTTGAATAACGAACAAGTTTCGCTTCACCAACACGTTTTAATAATCTTGTATTTGTTAGATTGACGAATTCAAAGGGAAACATTAAATTTATTGACAACTAGTACAAAGAAAATCACATTAATCTCGCCAATTAAAGAAAAATAAAAAAAACATTTGTTGGTATAACTAAGACATCCTAAATAAAGAACTAACTGTTCATCTTTTATTATTAGACAATTAATTTCAATTCCTTTTGTTTAAAGTACACATGTTATGTTTATTTCCTACTCTGTTTTGTACAAACTGTTTAACTTGGGTTGATACTTTGTTTGGAAGCATTTATTGTGAATAGTTCATTCATGTTACAGTAGTTTGTACAAATTGACATAAATCATATAATTGGCTTATTGTTTCTGTCTAATGTTCATTATTTATTGTGGCTTGTGGTATGAGACAATGACATTGAACTATATGTTTAAAGGATTTATTATTTTTTCTACTGACAGGTAAATTGATATCAATTTTATGTAGAAAATGGTTAGTAGGTATTTAGAATCCTTGCTTTATATTAAATGACTCTGTCCAAGTAAAATTATAAAACAACAAAAGCAAGTAGCCTATGTGTTATTCCAGATTTTGCTCTACATCTGCCAAATTTCATCGAGATCTGTTCATCTGTTTAGGCAGCAAACTCTAACATCTATCCATCTAAACTTTTACATCTTACTAATATTATAAATGTGAAAGTTTAGATGGATGGATGTTTGTTAAAGTTTGTAGCCTAATCGGCTGAACGGTTCTGGATTAAATTTGGCATAGATGTAGAGCATAGTCTGGAAGAACACATAAGCTACTTACTTTTTTATTAATACTTTGCGGACGGAGTCGCGGGGGAAGGCTAGTTTATTATATTAGTATAATTAATTTTTTTACTCAAATACTTGTGATCACAATCTTTTGCTAAGAGGAAATAATCTGTTTGATAATTTTCTAACTTATCTAGAAGTAATAATCAAATGTTTGTATAATTTAGACATGACAGTATAATACCTGCATTGTTGGAACAAATCATTTCTTAATGATATATTTATTTAATTAACAAAAGATACACCAAAATCGTGTTTGTCAGCTTTATGCTATTTTTCAGAGAAAGACACTTGATATTAAATAATACAATACAATAAAAAAAATATACAATCTTACTAATATTATAATTGGATGGATGTTTTAAGGTATCTCTAGAATGACTACAGATCTAAACAATAATTGTCTTAGATGTTGATAATCTGGGAGAGTACATAGACTAGTTATCTGCTTTGTTTAAATTCTGCATGGACAAAGTCACATGTAAAAGCTAGCATTTGACATGTTTTAGAGACTTATCTGTGAACAAGTGTATTCAGTTGTCAATTAAAAAAAACTATTAAATTAAAATTATTTTTACATACAAAAATATTGTGACTCAATAGGGTTAGGTGCAATGTATTATTGATAGGGTTGTCAAGTTAGTAAATAGTTTTCTGTACTGGAAAGTAAATGGAATTATTTCTTTCACTAAAATGGACACTTAAATGACCAGTAGCAAGCAAAAATTAGCTTATTTATAGAAGCTTACAATTAGAACCATACTTTATTGAGGGAGCAGAATAGTGTTTCGAGGAAGTACTTTATTGCGGAATTATACTATGATATAAAACTGTCGGGTATCACCTAAATATTTCACGACAGGCAAATTTCAATAAATATCTTGTTTGAAGTGAAAAAGTTAAATACATGCAACAAGTACTAAGTGGCAAATGAAATACTTTAGTAAAGTGGCAACCCTAAATCTAAGATGTAATTACGTGAAGTAGCGCCGTGCGTGTCGGCTGTCGGCGTACTCGCTTGCTAACCAGAAGGTCGTCAGCAGATTGACGTATTTATTTAATACTTGTCCGATTTCATAATATTTAACACACGACATTTCTTATTATAATATCAACAAAACTCTCATAACTTGAAGTGCGAAATGGCAGAAAGGCAACTTTTACATTTGTTTAAAAAAAAATACTACAGAAGCGATAGTGGCGCCAATAATCATTTTGGACTGCGGAACCGAAATGAACGGACGTGTGGCTTTTCTCTTTATTTGTACAAACACATTTGAAAAAGGAACTAATTTAATTTTAAATCTTATTTCTTAAGTATTAACATCTGGCAACTCATTTAATTATTAATTTAATAATGAATTATGCAAATAAACCACACAATAGGCTTAATAATGTATACCCAGGTTTATTAAGACCTCGTCTACTGTCGATGTTTTTGCAAATAAACAGAGTCAATATTTGCAACGGAACGGTTCAAAAGTGGGACAAGAAGATCTCTGTTCATCTTTGAGTTACGATTGGCAAATAAATATGGAGGTTATTTGTGTACGTCTAGCGTATATGTATTGACAAACGCAATTATATTAGCATGCTTATGTGAGCCTATACAAATATTTCGTACGTGTCCTTCAATCGCAATTTTCTATAGTTATACCATATTTGTTGAATGATTATACACACTTGTACGAGAAAGTTAATTATTATTACTATCGGATTTGCCTGAAACTCCGGTAACAATTTTTCATCGAGATCCGTTTAGTAGTTTTTGCTACAAAATCTAACAAACATCCATCTAAATCTTTGCCTTTATAATATTAGTTAGATATTATCATGCTTCGTACTAATATTATAAATGCGAAAGTTTAGATGGATGTTTGTTAGAATTTGTAACCTAAACGGCTGAACGGATTTCGATGAAATTTGGTATAGATGTAGAGGATAGTCTGGAAGAACACATAGGCTACTCACTTTTGTTTTTTTAATTCCACGCGGACGGAGTCGCGGGCGAAAGCTAGTATAATTATAAATGCGAAAGTTTAGATGGATGGATGTTTGTTAGTTTTTAGCATAAACGACTCAACGGATTTCGATGA